GAGGGGGTCCGCGGCCGTTGGGCCTCGCGCCGCGCTGGGAGCCATGTCGGAGTGGGTGTCCTACTACCGGAGCGAGGGGCCGGAGGAGCAGGAGGAGGAGGAGGAGCAGCAGGAGGAGGCGGCTGAGGCGGTCGGTAAGGGTCGTCCCCCGTCGTCCCCCCCCCGCCACGGAGGGCAGCCCCGGGTCCGCTGCCCTCGGGGGTCAGCGGTGGAGGGGGCCGCTGCTAAAACTGTTTCGCCCCCCTTTCCGTAGCGAACTACAGGTTCTCAGGTCGGGACAGCCTCATTTTCTTAGTCGATGCCTCCCAGGCCATGTTTGAATCCGATGGGGACGGAGTGACTCCCTTCGACATGACCATCCAGGTAAGGCTGCTCAGGGAGCCTCAGCGCGCTTCACAGGCCCTCCAGGAATCGCCTTCGACACTGCCATGGCTATGGCTACCGGGTTGTCGCTCTGCCTGGTCTGTTGGTGTAAGGGCACTGTGAAACTCGAGCAACTCAGATGGCTGAATGGCTGTGGGTTTGGAAAGATCCATTGTCTGATGGGCCGTGTCCAGAGTTCAGGTGAGGGAAATGTTTATTGAATGAGCGAGCAATCCACAATCGGGGTGGTTTATTTAAAAGATGTTTATTCATGTTCATTGATGCTGATTATAGAAGGGGAATGGTAATGAAGAATGTGTAAGGCTGTGTAATGAAAAAAAGCCTCTCAAAAAACAAGATCCCAAATTCTTTCTCCTGTTGAAATTTACCTTGAAGCATTTGTTACAGTTCTTCTGTTTGCTAGAGTCTACTTGTATAAACTGCTAATTGCCAGAGACAAAACTTTTGCATCCTTACTGCAACTGATGTTCTTCATATTTTGACCTGTGTGCATTTTTTTTTCAGTGTATCCGGAATGTATATACCAGCAAAATTATTAGTAGTGACAGGGACCTATTAAGTGTCGTGTTCTATGGTACAGAAAAGAACAAGAACTCAGCAGATTTCAAGCACATCTATGTTCTTCAGGAGCTGGACAATCCAGGTAAAGGCAGTAACGTGACATGATGGTTATGTGGAAAGATGAAGCAAGGAAATCTGTGTAGTAGCATTGTCAGTAGCTGATCTCTCTGGAAGCAGAGAGCTATCAGATAAACAAAAAATTCCTGTTACTGAGATGCGTTGGCAGAGGGGGAGATTTAGAAATTTATTGAAAGCTTAGAAACTTAGTGGGAACTTAGCTTTTTCTGTTATAGTTGGTGCAGATCCCTTTCCTATGTCTTCCTCTATTTTAACATGGTGGTTCACTTGCTGTCTGCTAAACCTAAGAGGATCTCAACAGAACTCTTGAAAGCCCATCATGTGTCTGCTGCGTTTCAGAAAAGTGCATGTACATGCTAGGGCACCACGGATTCCAGCTGATGGAGAGTATCACAGAATGGCTGAGGTTGGATGGGATTTCTGGAGATCATCTTGTCCAAACCTCCTTCTCAAGCAGGGTCAGCTAGAACAGGTGGTCCAGTGTATTAACCTGTTTGGGGTGTTCCATCTTTTATTTTTGTAGTAAGTTTTGCAATTCTTGAATTCAGGTCTTCCATTTTCTTAGAATTTCTTAGAATTACCTAGCATCTGCTTGATAATGAGTGCCAGTTGCTGAATTGGAAAAGGTAGTAAGAGGAGTGGAAAGAATGCATGCTAGTGGTGACAAATTCTCTGACAGCAGAGAGTCTTGTGGGGGGATTTTGTGTACTAGCTTTTAATAGCGGCCTTTATCTCTGAGGAGGTTTGATGGTAGTTTTTTTAACCAGGAGGTGCAAGTTTAATAACACATGGGGTTCTCCTGAAAGAACTGTGCCTTGTCCTAGTTTCAGAATTAATTACAATGGGGACCTGACAACACTGCCCTAGGTTCTTCTCCCTTTTCTGGCAGCAAGCGCCTTAGGCTTCTCGGTCATCCTTTTTCTTCCTCCTTCCCTGCTTGCCTTTTTCCCTGCGTTAGAGGCAGTAGCTTTGCCGTGCTGATAAAGACAGTGCAGGTGAAAGGTGGGTGTTATAAAGGAAGAGAATTGTGTATTTGCTGCCCCTGGAGAGCAGCGTGTTCTGGAGAAGGAAAAAAATACTATAGTTAGCTATTATGCAGTACATAATTATGAATGCTTATGCTATTAATTAAATGACAGCTGAGGAGATGAAAGTAAAATAGTAAATGGGGGGGACTGTCCTGGTTTCGGCTGGGATAGAGTTAATTTTCTTCCTAGTAGCAGGCACAGTGCTGTGTTTTGGATTTGATATGAGAATAATGTTGATAACACACTGATGGTTTAGTTGTTGCTAAGTACTGCTTATGCTAGTCAAGGACTTTTCAGCTTCCCATGCTCTGCCAGGTGCACAAGAAACTGGGAGGGGGCACAGCCAGAAGAGTTGATCTAAACTAGCCAAAGGGCTATTCCATACCATATGACGTCATGCTCAGTATATAAACTAGGGGGGGTTGGCCGGGGAGCAGCGATCGCTGCTCAGGAACTGGCTAGGTATTGGTTGGCGGGTGGTGAGCAATTGCATTGTGCATCACTTGCTTTGTATATTATTATTACTATTGTTATTATTACTACTACTGTTTTACTTTATTTCAATTATTAAACTGTTCTTATCTCAACCCGGGAGTTTTTC